AATTCAAGTGTGTTCCTAAACTGTTTTGCGGGGGCCTACACTCCTGGCCCTAGCTTGTGTGTCCTTGGAGTAGAATCTTTTGATTTTGTTACTGGTGCAGAGCAGTTGAGAATGATCATTGGGTGACGGATGCAGCAGATTTAAATAAGATACTTTGTAATTGGAGGACCACATGCATTTATACTTTTTAAGGATATAAGCAGTCATAAACGTAGTAAGAGATTATGTTTTCTTGATATTTGTGTATTACTTTTTGGTGAGAATTAATAACTTACTTTTTGGTCAGTGTTATGAGTTATTCAGAGTTGGGGATAGTAGCAGATAGTCTTTTTTCTCATACTGAAGGAAGAGAAAGTATCTTATCTCAGAAATTAGGAAATAAGCATTGGCTTAAAAATAGTACGTATGCTTTGAACTGCCTCAGAATTACAGTGACCATACGACCAATTATGCCATTAGTGAACCAGGAGCACCTCACTTAGTTTTCTCGATTGTTAAATGGTGTAATAGAAAGGTAATTGTGAGGATTAAATGAGATGACATACTGAAAAGTTTAGCACCATGCCTTACGGGACTCAATGACAAGTGTTACTGATGAGGGTAAAATAAATGGAGTACCAGAGTGTTTTGATTCCTTAAGTTCATTATGGTGGAAGTTTGTCCATTATCCACTGTGAAAATTAGCTCAACTGTAGAGTGTTTGTTTATAAGTAATATTTTCCTTTGGGTTATTTAATCTTTTGTTATTTTTCCATTCAGCCTCTCTGCCTTTTTAGGTCTCAAACACATGCTGTCTTCTACCATTCTATACTTATAACTCCATAATTGTTTGTTGAGTGAATGAATAAATACTCTAAGTGACCCCTGCTTTTTCTAATTTATGGATTTCCTATCCTGATCCTTTTTATTCTTCTCTCTTAATTAACGTGAACCGTAAGTTGTCATCGTTCCGCAGTTCAGAAGGGCTACGTGTTGGTGTAATGGTTGCCCCCAGCAGGAAGTTTCTAGTAGTTGTCTCTCGCTTGTTCCCACTCCTGCTTTTTCTGTTTCTGCAGCTACTTGTTAATCTTACCCGTGACCGTTCCTTATGGTGTTTTTTCCTGCCCATTCTACTTTTTGCTTTGTGCTCTCTTACCTTCTTTCATCTCCCTTTCCTCTACCTACTCTCTGTTCATGGGAGCTCTGCTTCAGCCTGTGTATTCCTGGTAACTTGGGGACTTTGTTCGTGTGCTATTTCAGTGGGTATGTAACAAAAGTTCCTAATATATGTTTCTTGGAAAGAGCAAGCTATTATATTTTTATCTCCTCTGCTACCTTCCTGGATTGAATGTATGATCTTGACAATCTTAATACAAGTGGTAGGTTTTAGTCTTAAAGTAGGTGATTCATCTCT